AGATTCAAACATTTCCAATGAGGTGATTTTGTGAGGAGAATTCAAATTAAAAGATGACTGGCATCAGTAGTGCCTGACAAGAGAAAAACAGGTTAGAAGGAATGCAAAAAGATAGAGAAATCCAGAAATTAGCTTTGCGTCAACTATATTTAAAATGTCCAATTACAAGTTTCTGTTATTATACTCATATTATACTTATAGGTCATGGATTCCTTCATCACAAACATATATTATCCATGTTCTTGAAACTAAATATACATAAATGGAATAGAAAAAGAACAAAAAAAGGACCAAAGACAACAGCACTTTTCACACTGGTCTGTCAAACGCAGGCAGAGCTGACACATACAATGTACTTGGCCACCGCTACACAATTCAGCCAACCCGCTTGGCTCCGACATCAGGCCAACAAGGTGGCAGGCAGGAGTGTCAGCCAATGGAAACAAGTTGGAGAGCCAGCTGAAGCCATTCACACTTCATTTGCTTTTTTTTTTTTTTGCATTTTTCAGCAGCAGTGGGTTTGGTGCTTGGTGATGTCCAGATAAACACTTGACAGTAGATAATATGTACAGAAAACCTGGGCAGCCAGCCATGAAAGTGACCCGTTAATTCATTATTTCAGATGGGATTCGGCTAAGACAAGCTTGAGGAAGCACTTTCACATCAAAGCAATACACTTCCTTGAACAATTTAATTTATATAGGGAACCCACTGAATGAAGGCGACTTTCTTTGACAAGAAAGCCCCGTCTCTACTGCCAAACACGCATCATCCACCGAAAAGGAATGAGATCTTACCGACCATTGCCTGGTCAGTGTGACAGATTCGGAGATGAACTAGAGCACGAGTGGGATAGCGAAGGTCAATAATGTGTTGCCATGTTTTGACGCCATGAGACCCCAAACTGTTTGCTATTAAAGATTAAAACCAGCTTTTAAAAAAATGCGGTTGAAGACAGTCGACGATTTCAATTAGCTGTTGGTGGTCAGTGAGCCTGAGGCAGAGACAGAAAATCAGACAGATTTCTGGAAGAAGCTTTAAAGCTCACAATGCACAGTCTGTTCGAAACACACCACAGATGCCCTGACACTTTGTTTAAAAATCAAATGTTATTAAGGATGAAATGATCGAAATAATCAATGTGTAAAACTGTATATAGGGTTTAGAAGTGACTACTAATCTAAATTAGTATGCAGTATGCTATATGGTAATGTGTAGTTTAAGAACAGGTAAGGTCTTCTGTCAAAAGACTTATAATAATAATAATGGATTGCATTTATATGGCGCTTTTCGGGGCCCTCAAAGCGCTTTACAATTACACTATTCATTCACTCTCACATTCACACACTGGTGGAGGCAAGCTAGGCAAGCTCACCAGTAGGCGGCAGGTGAAGTGTCTTGCCCAAGGACACAACAACCGAGACTGTCCGAGCCGGGGCTCGAACCGGCAACCTTCCGGTTACATGACGAACTGCCAACTCTTTGAGCCACTTGACTTGATCAAATTTAGTAAATAAGGATTACAATGAAAGGAAAAAAAACGAATCAAACAATTGTTCCACAATGTAATGCTAACAAAATGTTTGGCAATTAGTGTGAGAGCAATTCGACCTGAGAAAAATCATTGAGAGTAGTGACAGTAAGATATCCGGCCCTATCGAATCAGTGACCTCTCTGGACAAAGGCATGACCACAGGGTGAGGCACATTTACATTAAAATGTTAAAACAAAAATCCACAATTTATGTAAATATACTCAAGTACGGTGATAGTTCATTGCATTTCACTGCTCCTTCCAATCTATGCTAACATTTGGTTTTTATCACTTTGTCTCTTCTCTCAAGGTAAAGTTAAGTTGTTCTCTGAGGTTGTTGAATAGAAAAAAAGAGTACCGTATACATAAATTGGTTTGTGCTTATGTCTTCCAACAAACCAATACATACTCATAAATTTAGAATCAAACCATTAAAAGTACATAAGGAGAGGGCATCGGTTCACAGAAGCTGCCATGTTGCCCCATCATCTTGAGTACAGTGGCTGAGATGGACATCGTCGTTCCGCCTAATCGAGTTTTATGCATGTTGCTAGAGACCAGCCACATATGCACAACTTATAAGTTAGTTTTGTAACATTTATGTAATTGCTGATGCATGCTCAATTATCCAGGTAAGTAAATCGCAAAAGGTTGATTCCTTTCATCTGGATGTAGCACTTGGATGAGTGACGAATCTCAGTTAATCAGACAACAGCTGGTGTTAGGCTCGAGTGTCCTAAAAATCACAGTAGTAGAAACACACGGCCGTTATGGTGTAAAGTCCAAATTTTAGTATCAATGATCTTACTTGGATGACCGAAACATGTTTGTACTACGGCAGCCACCGTAGCTAGGACTTGAGGAAGGGTAAGAAAGTTGACTGCAAACTGCAATCTGCTGACATCTAGTGGTGAGATTTTATACACTGTACCTTTAATGACATCATGTGATGTTATTAAAGGTACAGTTATTTGGTAGCCAAATTCTAGAGATATCAGCGTCCAAATCCAAAGAAATATTAAAAAGAAAACAGAACTATCTAATGAAAGCAAAGAGTAGATTTTACTGCAATAGTAGACAATCACAGTAAAATTACAAATCACACAATCAATAAATCTATTTACAGGCTAAGCAAAAAAACTAGGTCTGGATTTTCCATTGACCACAGTCCTGTCTATAGTGTGCATGTAAGGACAAGGACATCAAACAGGAGGCCCCTGAGGATTTAGCTTTGAGGTAATGAAATCAATACGAGAGGAGAGTCACTCCAGCGACTTGTCCTTTGCCACCAGTTTATCCATCTGAGAAACAGTTTGCTTACACAAGCAGATCGCAGAGCAGATTCCAATAAAAGAAAATGGCAAAGCCTATTCTGTTCCTACTAACAGTAGACATCATCTCCCAGAGGAGTTCTACCCATTAAACAAATGCCATTACCCTGGGTTCAAATCTAAAACACTTTCCAAGAACTGAGATGTTCCAAGGTCAAATCTTTACAAACATAATGCGGCTCTCTTTGTGTTAAACTTGCAGGTTTTCGCTGCTTGGCTGAGCAGTAACAAGGCTGTGAAGCAGATGCGTTACTGTCATTCCAAAACAAGAACCCCGACTCATAAAACCGTGCTGTGAGAGCAGCGTTCAGCACCTGGAAGGTGCAGTCAGTCGGGAGGCAGGGGTGTTTTATGTGACGTTGTAGAAAAGTGAGATGAGGCAAAGGGGGGGAAAAGAATAGCAAAACCTTCTTTTGTGTGTCATAAAGGACTTTGTGGCGAGAGCTGTGATGCCGTAAGTCGGCGATAAACAACGGGAAGGAAGTCTGATGAATGTAAATGTGAACTGAATATATCTGTCATACACATCTCTCCTTTTTATTCTATAAAAATCTTTGGGCCTGTTCTGCCACAAATGACTCAGCTGTCCACTTGGCTCATTTGGCTGAAACTGAACTGTGTTCCTGCTGTCAAGGATAAAAGACATTTAACGGTGACACAGGAAGTATTTCCATGATTGAATAAAAATCGTTAAATGTGATCCAGTACATGAAAAACAGTGTGATAAAAAAACAAACAAAAATAGAATAGAATGGTAATTAAATAGAACAGCTTTATATAAACTTGCTTTTTACTAAATGAAGTTGATTAAATTATAATTCTAATTTCCAGCCTAGACAAAGATTGTTACAAATGGATTCATTCAATCAGTTTGGAACGTTTTAAATGTATTTCTTATTCATAATACATCCATTTATTAAGAAAAATGATGGATGCATTTATTGAAGCGTTCTTACAAATGAATGTTATTATTTCAAAAAGTTTTACAACTGTTTAAATTTCATGTCATATTTTTACATTTTCTCCTAGTCGTTGATTTCTAGCCCTCAGTAACAAATGTTGACTTCACAGTTGCATGAACGGAGAAAGAAGTGACTCTCTAACCTGTTTGGTAAGGAAAGATGTGTGCCCTTTATTTGCTTTTGGTACCTGTAATATATATATTTATATAAATGCTCACACATAGGTGTGCACACACACAGACACACGCACACTTACTTCACAGCAGCTGCTGTCTGGAGAGCTGCAGCTCATTACCATGGTACCTGAGGCTTAAAGCAGAAGTTGGGTTTTCCCTGTCAGTGAATAAGGATGAGCTATGGTTCCAAAAACATCCGACCAAGCATACACGGCTACACTTTTACATGATCAGGGTTTCACAGAGTGTATTATTTCCCTCCTTCCCCATTATGGTAACTAAATAATACAAAATGCACCGCAGATCCAATTAAGCCTAAATAAAGCTGCATATTCCCTTATGAAAACTGGTATTTTCCTGTGACAGATGGATAAATACCTGAAAGGGGAACGGGCAATAGAAGCTCTGTAATAGGCAGTTGGGATGGAGGGAAAGCAAATGAAATTTTCCCCTCGCACAAAGAAAAAAGCTGTAGGGAAATTGAGATGACAGAAGGTGAATGGACTTGCAAGAAAACTTCAAGGATAACACATGACAAGCATCAATATACGGATGCCAAGAAACTCAAAAGAACCAAAAACACAGGTGTGACAAATGACAAATCTCAAAAACATCGGTCTGTGTGTGAGGTAAAGTGGCCCTCAACAAATCCATTCAAAGTTGGTATTTATTTCTGCTCCTGACAAACAAAGCAAGGCTTCGAGGATATGAGGTAAAGATGTGCATATGGTTTTGTGATGTCACTGACATAACTGCTTTATAACATTATAAGATAAATGGATGGTGCACGAACCTGATAGATGTAGCCAAAACTAAAGCTCTACTTTCTCCACTGCAACCTCCCTTCCTCCCTTTTGCACTCTCCATCTCTCTTTTTCTCTCTCATGTTCCCTCCCCCTTTCACTTAATCTCTCTCTCTCTCTCTCTCTCATTGTCTCTCACTCTCTCTCACTCACACACACACTCATACACACACACACAGGCTCAGAGGCAGACAAACAGAAAAGAGGAGAAAGCCAGAGAGCAGAACTGCGGCGGCACGATGGGGATATTCAGCCTGCGTGGGCTCCGTCGCTGAGCCGTCCGGAGTTCAGCCACAGTATGTGTGTGCCTGCTCGTGTGTGAGTGTGTGCATGCATGCATGTGTGAGTGAGTGAAAGCCCCTGCCGACACCGTGTGGAGAAAGGGAAGAAGACGAAAAGAGACCGGGTGGAGAGAAGGGAGAAGAAAAAAAAAAAGAGGGGGAGTGTTGACTCTGTCTCGGGCTTAGAGGAGGCTCACGCTACTGGATCATAGACGCCGATGTGCAACAACTACTCCCAACTACTGCTGCCCCTGCTCCACCTGCGTGCCACTGCCTGACTGTCCTCTTTAACTTCTGCCATGGCATAGCCTCCTCTTCCAGCTCGCTTCTGATCTACTGAGGAAACAGGCATGCATGGGCACAACCAGGGATCTAGGCTATCACATCCTTTACGTCAGTAATTCACAGTCTGAGGTAAGTTGCTCTTCTCTGCTCTTGTCTTCTCCTCCATTTCACCTCTTAGTCTGCATCTGAAAGGGGGGGGGAAGTCTGCTCATATAACCTATGGAGTGGGAAATCCAAGAAATCTGCTTGCTCAGAGGAACTGAGCCCTGGATAAGCCACGAGGAATATTTTCAGTCAAAATGTTCTCTTTAGTCAGATGATCAAATATCAAATCTGTGTGACAGATGAAAGGAGGTAAATCTCAGACGGATTTTACACTCAGATGCCTCTGCTCGGGTGAAGGGAAAATTCAGGGAGCGCTTATGGAATGTGCTGGTGCTGACTTTAACAGACAATTTACTCACTTCGGAAAACTTTACACATGAAAATATTGGAACTATTGGTTAATTTTGCGTCTGGAGGGAGGGGAGGGGGTGGACTAAATGCCAAGGCTTGCTGACATTTATCAGATCTCGAAGGTCAGTTTTTCATTTCCAAGAGAATTTTGATCCACATTTTACCTGACTGAAGCGGCATACAAAGCTAGAACAGTGCTTGCGTATGAGGAATTGAATGATGCTGCATTTCCTCTCAGCTAAGTGAGCTGAGTTACATAAAACACGCCGATATCGATGTTCAAATTAAGAATTTGTGAATTATTGCATTAAGCTGCTTTCCCACGTTTGGCTGCAGCAGTGTTTTAAAAGCAGGGAGCATGCAGCACAGAGAAACACGTAGTGAAAGCTGGGCATCACACAGCTGGCTGCATCTGATGAAGGACCTCCACTGGACACTAATCTAGATTAATGGAGTTGGTGAAGTCACCATCTCCTTAAAGATTATTGGTGCATTTGTGTGTGTGGTGTGATAAGATGCTGGCACTGGGTTGCCGGTGTTTAGGGGGTGAGAGGGAACAAGGGCTGCCAAGAGCCCTCACATCTCAACTGTCCTTCAGTTGCCACACAAAACGCATGTCAGTCCCACTCATCCCTACAAACCTCTTGCTATCGCTCTGTCTCCCCTTTAACCACAGCTCACATCAGCGCTCTGATACAATCTCCTGTATGCTCTATTTCACTTTCAGCAGACACTAAGAAGAAGACAGAGGGAAACAGATAAAGATGGATGGAGAAAGAGAAAGAGATATAGAGCGAGGGGGAAAGAGTCTGTCTGTAAGGAATAGCAGAATAAGGCAGGAGAGGATATTGAATTTCTCTTTGCTTTTATAATTCCATTATATGAAATTACAGGGTAGGAATAAAGATGAGAGTCCAAAAAAAAGCAAAAAAAAATATGATTACTTTAACTGGCTGTCTTACTTTAACCTTGACGCTTGATGCCTTTATGAGACCTGGGGGATGACAGTCTAGGAGTAATGGATGTGATGGCCAAATGCTTCAAAGCTAGTCTTTCTTTCTAAGAATCCGCGACATCAAGCAACACCTAATACTACAGAGAAAAAGAAAGAGGGACAACTGCCACACGTAAACACACAAGACAGGGGTACGCTCAGGCCATCACCTATGTCCTATCAGTGCAAATGCAGAGAGGTTCCTGGAGATTTAAAGCTGGAACAAAGTTAAAGCTTTTACGTGTGCACACAGAAAGGGAGAAATGACAAGGGAGGGGAAAAAACACAAAACAAAAAACATTAGAGGTGGCCTGCAAAAAGTACACGCGTTTCCAAACGAGTGGTGAAGTGTGCATTCACCTCCCATCACCCCGCTCACTGGGAGGGGTACTCATTCATCCAGAAAACAAATGACTCTCCTATAAAAAAATGACTGCTTTTGGAACAAGCCAGATGTTACCTTTCATGTGCTAATAGGATTATTCATTAAGAATGAGTATTTTCACCGGGAGGACCACAGCAACGTAATGCAGTTTGGGTGAACTGTGCGTGTCTGTCGCTGAAGACGGGATCGTGTGTGCACATGTGTGGCTGACTTTGTACATCACATGAATACAGAAGGAGGCACTTCACACCTGATCTCACCTAAGTGTTGCTGCAAGTGTATGTGTGTGTGAAACATGTGCTTTCCTATTCATCTGCAGGAGAAGAGGAGTTTTTTGTTTTTTTGAGGCAAAAATGAGACAAAACTTTAAAACCAACAACTAAATATTGTGTAGCTACCCCTTGTTCTACCAATTGCAGCTTCACCTCCTCAGGGATTTAAAAGGGCACCTCTTGGGATAGGAAATGTTCAGTGTTATTGGAAACTCTACAATTTGAAGGCCCACTCAGCAGCTGGGGATGTGCTGAGTCTATGATGGGTGATGTCTGCATGAGTGGTATGTGTCAAAGTGCTATCCACTGCCAGGATCAATGTTTCCCAGTATAACACTGTACTGTAACAAGACGAGGAATGTTATTCACTATGGTGATCAGTGGGGGAACTACAGTGATTTGCAAATCATGTAAAACCTAAAAATAGTGGAAGACAACACACCAAATATTATAACATTTTATTGTTTTTTTAAATATAGCCTTTTGAATTTGTTGCCAGCGGCATGCTAAAAAAAAGAAGCTGGGACAAGGCCATGTTTACTACTGTGTTACATCACCTCTTCTTTTTGACAGTGTTTTGTAAGAGCTTGAGAACTGAGAAGACCCTCTGAAAGAGAAATATTTTACTTTTTTCTTCTGATATCAGATTTTCTCAAAAAATTGGGGTCTCGTTCATCATTTTGTCATAACTTTTTCATAACTTTAATTATTGTGTGACGCGTCTGGATTCAAGGCCAGTTTATTATAGAAACACTTACTAACAGACCATGGTGTTGTAATGCACGCCAAATGTAACTCGGCATTGTTTTGCTGAAATCAGCAAGAACTTTCCCTTAAAAAAAGTATATAAATTTGTATATGTAGTTATATATTATATGGATAAAGTTCATATTTAATTAACAAGTCTACTAATTATAAGAAATAACCCTCTCTTGTTTTTATCTGGTGTAAAACAGGTTTGACCAACATCCCAAAATCCAGATATTAAATTTTCATTTACATAAAAGCCCCAAATTTTGACCTTTATAAGAAAAGGTAAGCAAATGTGTTGTAAACATTTTAGGTTTTGTTGTTAAAAAGGTTTCTGTTCACCAGCTAACATCTGCCAAAAGATCGTATCCACAGTTCCTGCTGTATCCAGAACAGTTAGCAAAACCACAAATGTCCCAAGTATTTAGTCATTACCTTAATAGTTATTTACACTGTCACTCAAACCAACTTGTTTGTCTCATCACACGTCAGTGCTGTGAAATATACCCTCACAAAACCTTCTTTTTTATGTGAAAATCCATAAAACATAAAACTTTCTTCAAAGAACATATCAAGTTTCCCTTTCTGTGACACTGCTTTGATGTTACTGTCGTCACAATATTTTTAAGATTCAGTTGAGCTGACCGAATGATACAAGACAGAATGGCTTTAGCTGTTGTTTCCTCTGTGGTTTCTGAATATTCTTCTTGATGGATCTTTCTCCATGGTTTCATCTTCCCCTTTCATTTCTGTCTCTATTTTACCCACGTTCAATCTGCAATATCCGAGCCGAGTATAAGCCCTGTGTTCTTTCTATCTGCACCTGTTTCTTCTCGTCTTTTCCATCTTCATGTGTAGCTGTGTATATGTGTGGGTATTGTTTTCTTTGCTAGGGATGACAATGAGGAATGTGAAAGCAGCAGGGGAGTTCTGTAGTTACCCATCAGTTTTGAAACCTCAGTCTAGAAGGCAAAGAGACAGAAAAACACACAGAGAAAGCAACGAGAAGACGAGTACAAAAAAGGGGGATGAAGACAAAAAAAGAGATATAATGTTCTGCAGAAAGGTGGTAAAGAAAAAAAGGTGATGAGGCAATGATGTATTGTGATTAGACCGGGCAGTCTCTGCAGTATAGATCCTGAGGTCTGATCTCCCTCTAGAGTAGCCTGTGACGTATAGACAGACTTTCTGAGAATTAATCAAGGTCCTACCTGAGCACAAGTGCACAACGCAAAGCCAACTAAGTTCAATTCAGCAGGGACAGAGTGCGTAAAAAATAATTAGGATACAAAGTCTGGGGGCTACAGGCCGAGGATAAGAAGATCCACATAAGCAGCAGCCCAGCATAGAGTACGCTATGTTCTTTTGTGAGTTATTCCTAGCACCATGCTTAAACCCTGTGTATATAATGTCTTACTTACACATGGTTTACTTTGGGATCATTAAGTGGAAGAAATAAAAACCTCAATGCATAAAAATAACATATGTACTGCAACAACTTTTTTTATTGCAGAAATATAAAATAAGGATATTGTGATCAGCGTGGATCAACAGCGAATCTGGATTGGTTCTGTCACAATTTCAGGATTCTGGCATCGAAACAAATACTGCAGTTAAGATATTATTATCATCGCTATTGGAGTAAGCTAAATCATTTTAAATCAGCCATTTGGCTTGCGGTCCACTTTAAGAAGATCTGGTTTTAAGCCAAGCTATGTTATCCAAGATGATGGGTGGAATTTTAATTCTCCTGAAACTCAACATGATTTGTAACCAGGAGTGAAACGTCACAGGGAAAAATACGCCTTTATATTACGCTTTAAAATATCCTACAGATAATATTTATTCATTGCTAAAATAATAATGTAGGTAATAACTAATGTAGAAAAAAAAAAACTAATGGAAGGAGGCATCATTGAATTAAACATGCCTGAAACCAATCCCATAAAATCCAGCCATTTCCAGTGCAATGCCACAGCAGTAAACTACTGTTTACATACAAAGGATTTCCTGCATGTGATGCCAGGAAAATGCACTTCCCTAATATTTTGGGAGCCTGCTCACATGACACGGCACAAAGAGACAGAAAATAATAACCCAGCAATAAACCCACACTGTCAAATAACCTTACCAGTACAATCTTTTTACTGCGTAATCCGTCTGCTCTTAAGAGGCAGATCAAAGAATTTGCAAAACACCACTAAGCCCTGTATAATTATGACAGTGGAGGGGGAGGGGGGGGGAGAGAGAGAGGGGGAAACAAAGCAGGAGT